GATCCACAAGAAAAGAAATAACGAACTCCTTGAAATTAAATCAATAAAGATAACAAGCCGGGACTCGGAAGGACAAAGGTCACTCCAGCAACGACCAGATTACGACGGCAGGGGATGCCAAGCTCAAAGGTCAAGTGGACATCGGCGAATGAGGACACAGGACAACGGAGCAACCAACAAACCACCCAAACAGACAACTAACCGCGATCGAAGGTCATCCCCGGCTAACAGCAATTGTCATTTATTTTTGGAGAGCATGGTCACAAACATAAAAAGTGAATGCAAGCGACGAATGTGAAAGGGTAACAGGAGAATATGAGTTAAAAGAGAGACGTATCATTCGAATTCATGCCAACAACAGTTCCAGTCTGATGACATGAATCACAAAGTATGTAAAAATTTTGATATGGAAACACGCGTCTGAAGGCCAACAAGCAAAGAAAGAACAAACAAACAAAGCACTGTAGGTACAATTAAGACACAATTAAGACTCGCACATCAGGCACAAAATTTCTTTCATACGGGGTCTGGTGTGAGATTAAATGGCAAAAATCTACATTCAGCGCCATATGCCGCGCACAAAAGTATCCTAAGTACGCAGAAAACCCACAATGGCAAGCAAACACAAGTCACGGACTGCGACCTTAAGAAGTCCCAGTCCAATAACAGTCTTAGCTGATTGGGGAAAGCAGACCTCTCGATAAGAGATGATCATCGGTTGGTGAACCAAAAAGTTGATAGCACAGCCGATTGCATGTAGAGCTGAGACTATGGCGAGGAAATATTCATCAGCACCATACTTTTGCTTCTTCCCACTCCAGTCACACTGCGCCCATCCGAGACTATGCTGACGTCTATTACAGTTGCTCGGCGATCTCGGACAGCAATTAGGTCAGGTTTGATGAACGACGTCGAAGTAGATGCTATCAGCTCCTCGAAGACGGTGTATCCCAATCGACGGAGACATTTTGCGAGTCCCCTTACAAGCTGACTATTACGATCCAGGAGGACTGCAAAATGTGCACCAAACTCTCCGGTTGGCCACAATTTCCATGACATAAGATCGTCTGGCCACCATGATCATGCCGAGCGCTTTTAACTTTCGTCCTGAGCATGTTGCATTGGAGCTGGATACCGCGGATAAATATCCGAGGAAACACTCGTTCTGGAAATACAATCCACCGACTAGAAAGAGGCGAAGCGACCAACTTTCGTAAACCGCGACCATCAACACTGTTGTGCAGCGTTGTTCAGCAGCCACCAGCTCTTTCATGGTGCTTACGCATGCACCATGGACTCGGATCGGATAGCTGAGATTCCGAACAATTTCGCCAAATGCGGAATCGTTGACCACAGTGTGTATTATTCTGCACTAAGTAGAAAGGCGCTTTTCCGTACGCGTTCTCCGCTACCTCGGGTTTGTTGCACTAAGACTTGGGATACCAAGTCCCCCATATTGTTTACCCGCGTGGATGTAGTTGATCGGGGTGTCCTTCGGTAGACGTAGCCACGAATATATTACCTGATGTAGTTGTCCAATCTTTTGAGCATGTTTCGGTGAACTTGGTTAAGCGCGAACGAATACGTCAGCATCGGTATCAGGTAGTTCTTCGTAATCTCCATTCTTTGATGCGGCTTCAATGGAGCATTTTGAGTAGGTGCTGCCGGTGAAGACTCCTTTCCTCTTGTAAGTGAAGGGAATGCTCAACTATTTTACTGAAGTGAGGGCAGTTGCAATCTACGACTCCAGCGATCAGCAAGCACCTTATGAAAGCAACGAACAAGAACGGATGACACATATCGGTCTCAGTTGATCCGGTGAAGTCAGATTAGGGACCTTCGGAACTAGGATAATACGGGCACTTCACGGATGTGGGGGATAACCCCCAGATAATAACAGTAGGTTGAAATACCCAGCGAGCACGTTAGCACTGAACCGGCGGGGCATCCTGGGCGTGAGCCTGTCCAGGCCTGAGGACGAATTGCCCATTAAATGGATCGTACAGCCGACTTCTTCTCCTGTAATTAGCTCCATCAAGCTCCAGTTGGATGGTATTACTATGCGACTTGGCCGGCTATCCACGTGTTTTGGAGCTGAGAGAACCTGTTTGTATAAACCAGACGCTATAGTCATCGGCTTCTAACGGGTGGGCCGCCATTTGGTCAGGTCCACCAGATGATGATTTGTCCTGTTATGCTTGCCAGTCAAGCACCCGCTACTTGGTTTTGATGCTGATAGCCGATCGACCAGGAATATACTGATCCAGCCTCGTGAACAGCGTGGTTTTCGTGCATAAGATGTACATAAATGGTTAACCAGGCGCAAGAGTAAATGTGACTTTTGTTGAGACCGGCGGATACCGGAATACTTCACTCGACCAAGCTTATCTGCATTATACTGACTGGGGTGTGCGTGCCGGCGATGTTGACTTAGGTCAATCTTCGTCGGAAAAAGGCAGGAACAATCAGCGCAGGCCAATTAGGCAACCATGTTCGTGAACTCGATGGTGGGCTACCAAGCCAGCTTTCGATTTACAGCACTTGCAACATCCCTCACACGTGAACCCAACGAGTCTCTCCTGGGTATTGGTTAGAACTGATGCAAAGGCGCCAGATGATTCGTAGTACACATTGTCGAATGTAACCAGCACATTGAGACCAAACGGGGTGGTCAGCTCTGTCTGGAGTTACTGAACTGTTAGCTCACCCAGACTGACGTCTAAGCTACCCAGTCGGTGTCACGAGGAGGTGGTCCATCTCACCGTATATTAACACACAAGTAACACTGCTCAACGCACAACCACTAACCCACCGCTACGCACCAATACGCTCTCCAAAAACTCACTGATGCTGTCACCTCGACTGGTGATGAAACATTTGCAATCAAATTGCCCAGCTGAGCGAACAAGCCAAACACCATCTACGCTACCTGAGCTACCAACATTTTCCTCTATAGAAAACTTCATTTAGCGTTAGTGCGTACACTCACTGTTCCTTATCTGGCTACTCCACTTTTACCTTCCTGACATGTTTTTACCTGGAGGAACGAGTTTCTAACCAGTCTAGCCTGCAGGCACCCAAGCCCGAACACGAGGCTGAGGTATCACTTATTATCTGGAAAGGTGTTAGAACATCTATTTCGTGCTCACCAGGAACGTTTGACGATATCCACTTTCATGAAGCATTCGTCTAATCTCTTACACGGATTTATTGACCGTGTTCGTATTCTTCGTTGACCGGATATAAACACCGTCAACGTCTCATTAGGGAAATCAGTAGACTGCCAACTCATAATCGATGGTCAAGAGCAGTTGAAGACCTGATATCCGTACCTGTATTACATCAAATTTCACTGAAATTGATTACCGAGTTTGTGCAAACCATATCTGTATTTTTATATAAATTTATAAACCATGTACAAGCAATTGATTGTAGAAATCTTCGAAAAAGGTTGCAACCAAAACGTTGCATTATAACACCCTATTCCACTACATTGTTTTGACTTTAAAAATTCCATATTATAACCACATGGCGCTCATTCTTTTTAAAACCATCCGAGCCGAATTTGACCCAGGACTCCTCCCAGTAACTACCCAAAGAGCCATACGACTGACGTTTCAATAGAAAAAACGGTGTTTCACAACATCAAATACTTGTGACAGTTCAGAGTACACTGATTCTTGCCTCACTTATATCAGTTGAATCGGAGTGCGTGAGTGTAGCTACCGCAATGTTACTCAGCGGCCAGAAACATGTGCTATCGGCTATCTTGGTTGTAACCATTTCTTAAAAATGTAAAAAATGTAAAATGTAAAAATCTGCTCTACTGTCATTTGTATACATCAGCATGTTAGTTTGCCCTTCCCATCTTGAAGGAATGGAATTTTCATCTGAGCTGCCCTGGGATAATCAAGCTTAAATTTCAGGAGGGATCACGGCTAGTGAATTTTAAACCGCAGGACGGAAGCTATCCACTTAAGGAGAACTGTTTTTTTTTTCGCTACAGTAGTTGCGTTCGAAGAATTTATGGGAGATGGAGAGAGGGGAAGAGCATTATTTTGTAGTCATCAGTGTCGATGAGTCAGGAAAGACCTTGTACTTTGATTTTTTGGTCGCTTTTCTATGACTGAGTAGCCCACCGGTGTTCCAGCCTCCGCATTATTCGCATGGGTTGACTTGCAGCTATCCACTGCTATATTTAATTCAAATATGGTCCACCTTCCTAAGATAGTACTGCGTTTTGCCTTACATTAAGAACACCACTCGTAAAGCTGATGTGCATCGGGTGGGAGCTGTTTTCTTAGAACTATTCTAAGCTCTTGACAACGCAATTTGGTTCAAGTTATTAGCTACTCTGCAAGAACCCATAGTTGATATTTTTGAGACAGCAATGTTCGAGGCTGAATTAGAGAACTGTCAACGGTTGGTAAAGATTGTTGTCACAGAGCTAACGTAAAAAGGACCAGTTCATTTGGTTGGCGTGATCACCGTTACGAATAACTGCACACATGACCCAGGTTGACCACCACCATAGAACTTGTTTGTACGATACAGCCCGGAAGAAGAAGAATAAACTCGTAAATCTTATCATAAGAAGTATGAGACACAAGGCGAAATGTACCGATTGGTTCAAACAGTGAAATGTAGCATAACTATAGAGGTTGCGATTATGAGGCTTAGTCTATGATATATGGGGAGAACTTTGTATGTTTCAATCAAACCCAAAAGTACTGTTTTCATATTTACCGAACAGTATTCAGAAATACCAGAGGTTACTGAGCGGAATCACCAGAGCGCTCATCTGGTACCAATCATGGACACGCTCTTCCAATGCCCGTGGGTCGTCACACCCCATNCATCTGGTACCAATCATGGACACGATCTTCCAATGCCCGTGGGTCGTCACACCCCATGGAGAACGAGTTTGTGGTATAATTTGCGAACAAACCTGGAAGAACCATGAAGTGCTTCAGACCCACCCACGCACTGTTGCTAGAAGGATGGTAAAAGTACTCGAAGACAGATACAAGCTACGGATTTACGCAGGATATGAACCAGAGTTTCGCATCTTTCGGAAGGAAGGATTTGAAGAATCGACCAGAAACAAACCCGGGTCACAAGCAGATACTATCATACCACCTACTCCGTGGACCAGCGGAAGTGATATGCTCAGATATGGTCATTTGTCTGCATACGAATTTTTCGTAATGGACTTGGACCAATACCTACAAGCCGCAGGGATTGATATTATAGAATATCTCAATGAAAACGGAAGCGGAGAGATTGAAACCCCATTGGTGCCGAAATTCGGTATCGCCGCTGCCGACACTTATTTCATATTCAAGCATGCGGTGCGCGAGATCGCGAAGAAACACGACATGCGTGTTTCGTTCATGACAAAGCCTTTAGTTGGTGAACTATCAACCGGATGTCACTTCAATCATTCGTTGTGGGATATTGAAAGAGGGAAGAATGTTTTATTCGATTCATCAGGTTAGTGTAATCTCGGTTACTGATACCTGTCTCTGAATCCTGAACTGTTTTTTAACTGTTGTATAGTGGTCAAGAAAGCATTGACTGTTCAGGGACGCCAGTCTTTGTATTCCAGATTGAATGCAGTTCTTCGCTGACCATCTGAAATCCATAATATATCGCTGATAACTGGAGGAAGTTTCTGAGCTTACGCAGGCGATAGAGTAAACCCACGTGACCAACGAGCGATTCAACTATGTTCAAATCTGTAGTCCCTACTTTCAAGAACCGGATGGTGCGGTAACATTCTTCTGAAAGTAGTCGGATTGTTTCCATGCGTCAGTGCATTTAAACCCGTAACAATAAAGATGGATAGAATCATTTTGTTTCGAAGACAATGTTGTAGAGGTCTTATTTGAGGAATAGCCTAGCAAAACCTATCCTACTTGAGCCTGCGATCTGCAGTATATCCCGAAGTAGGAATTAGGACAGGCCGCCCGTCAAATGGGATGGCTGAAAATATACTTCAGCCGTGTGATCCGCTCAAATGAGATGATTTCACAGAAAAGACCATATCTGTCAGAGCTTTGATTAGCAGCCTTACAGAGAAAATGGAAATGTCGATTAGAGGCTAGTATTTTCCGCTTGGTTTGGATGCGTTTTTCACACACTCTGGACTTGCTGTCTATATTGTTGGGAAAAGCATAGCATGGGGATCAGTACGATGGACACAAGTGGCAGAATTACCGGTGCAGTACCTGGAATTAAACCAATGCGGGCCTAAATGAACCTAAACAAATTCTGAAGTTTTTATGCCGCCTTTCTCAGTGCCTGGCAGCGAATCGCTGGTTCTCCACGATGCGATCAGAGCTCGAGTAAAAATGAATGACAAGCCTCAGGACTTTGAAACGGATCGGAGTTTATGGGACAAGTCACACTCAATATGTTACAGGACACTAGCTTGACAGAATAGATGGTTAATATCTTCTTTAACCCAAGCACACATTTGATAATTTCACGTCAAATCACTGCATTTTGGACCTTCCGTTTGAAATTGCAATGGCAAGGACAGTTTGACATAACTGCGCCGCTTGAAACTGGTGGGACTAGACAGAGACAAAGTGGCTTTGCACAAAACAATACGTATCTCTCCAGGAAGTCCTTCAAGAAAGTTTGAAAGAATTCATTAACTCAATCTATTTGCTACCAGAACCGGATTTGGGGAAAGTCAAAACAGAGTTGGGACCGAACTCCATAACATTCTCGACCATGTTAGTAGACGGCAAGGAAAACACTCTAAGTACAGGTAATCTAGGCAGAGGATCTCCAAAACGATATAAAAAAATTATGTCTGAATGATGAAATGTCAGTAGAGAGGACAACGCTAAATGTGCCCGATATCATCTAGGTACGGCTTGGATTGTGCCGACCGATCAGCAGGAACCATTAAGAAACAACAGAAAGTCTAACGAGCAGGCTAACACTTTAGCAGTACAAAGCCTTCGGGTCAAAAGGCAAATGATTGTGATGAAGCGTAATTAATAGCAGGAATCTGGCTCGCCTGTCAATCTGGTTGTTAGAGCCACCTTGGCAAAGCTTGGGCAAAGGGGGAGAGAGTAGACGGAATAAAAAAAGTGATTGGATATCCCTGACTGGGGAGAATGTTTCGAAGGTTCCATAATGCTGACCTTCAAGAAGCAGCTCGTGATCCGCTCGCGGTTCTGACAATCTTCGAGAAGACCCAAATGAGTTGTACAATGAGAATAAACTCACAGATGTAATTACAAGATTTCAAGCTCACACGGGACAATTAACATCCAGTGCCTACCAAAAACTCGTAAGCTACCCGCTTTCATATTACCACTGACCAGTTTTTCAAAATATTGAACAGGCGAGCTGAAAACTAATATAAGTTTCTCTAGGTTCAATGGCTACAAGTACTAGATAGTACATAGTGACCATTCGAGCATATCAGTCACATTTTAAACCTACCAAAGTCTGGTTTCTACTTGGAGAGCTCTGCAATCCCAAGTAATTTTAAGAAATCTCATAAAGATGGCGCGCATCGAAGGCACCAAGAAGGACGTATCTTTTCCCCTGGAAAACCTTTGTTCAGGGATAAAGGATGATTTTCATCAAAGATGATAATACTTATCTGAGTAAACGATCAGTAACATTTCATTATTCTTTGTTACTTCTGTCTGGGTCATTATCACAGCTTCGGATAACCTGTCGAATCTCGCCCACAATTGGCTTGGTGGCCTATTTGAACACATGCCTGCCTTGACCGCCCTATGTTCACCAACCGTGAACTGCTATCGAAGACTGCACGCTGGATGGGCCCCAGGACACATGGATTGGGAGCTGGATAATCGATTTGTAACCGTGCGTCTGAAGAATGTGGGTGAAGATGGTACCTATCTGGAAAACCGCCTTAGCTCCTCGGCGTCCTGTCCTTATCATGTGATGGCCGCAACGCTGGCTGCGGGTATGGATGGGATCGAGCGTCGACTGGAACCTCCGTCTCGTGGAGCGTATAATCCAGCTAAAGGTGCGCCCATAATGAAGGAACTCCCAAAAACACTGAAGGAAGCTATCGATGCGTTAAAAAAGGACACAATTCTAGTAGATCGCTTGGGGAACCAATTTGTTGACTGGTTTATTCGGGCGAAGGAATTTGGTGACCTCAAAACACTGGGCCAAATTGACATCAAGGAAGAATCCGAGGAGTTTCTAGCGCAGGAACGTTATGAATACTTGGAATTTATATGACTGGCCATAAATGTACACACCAGACTCTATATCCGTAGTGATGCTTTGATAGAAATGTTTCACGGAATTGCTTCTAGCAATGGGAATTATAATGAGTGTTACCCTTACCCTTCAAACTTATTGAATTCGAAATTCTCCGAGACAAATTCAGGTTCATGAAAGCCTGATTTACATCGGTAGTGTTCAGCCGAAACAATTCTCCTAAGGAGGTCATTTCTGAGTTTCAAGTAGGGACGAAGCACACAGCTTCAGGTTGTCAGGCCTCAGCGGTATTGTTGCCATTTCGTTTGTCTGATGAAGATTCAGTCGGTATTATGCACAGGTATCCGGGGAAAAGTTCAAGGATGGTAGTATTTCTCTTTCGTTTACACTGGAAACACTGGCGAGCTTAATATATTTAGTACTCTCTATTATAGTAGTAAATTCGAATGAATTCTACCAACTAATAACAATTTCGTTTACTAATTCTTTTTGCTGCTAATGATTCTACTTACTAATAAACATCGAAAGTATCTAAGTTTAAGTTCCTTGTTGAAGTCTGCATGTTAGGTGAGGAATGCCTTTGAACCATAGACCGGAAAATAGCATTAGACAGAAATTCTGAGGACCTTGACTTACGTACGACAAAAAATCAGAACAACTGCTGAAGTAAACTCATTTGCAAGCTAATTTCGGTTGTAACGGAAGTCCTATCTGTAACCAAATAGAATCTATCATTCAGAATATTCTTCATATGAATATGTTGCATATGAATGAGGGATTCAGCTGCTATTCGGTTAAGTCTCCTGTTGACACCAGCCTAATTTGAAAATTAGTTCATTTCGCGAATTACATGTGGTTTGATGTTCACCTAGAACATAAGGTTAACGGGACCTGGGAAACTGCGCTTACGTGGTAGTCCTCAAGAATGGCGAAACCGGTCACAGTGTGTTGGAAGTTATTCGGAAACCTTATGAGTAGTGTGCCTTTTCAGGAAAATCCACCCATGATCCGTCCCACGCTTGGTTATGCCTCACGTTATGATGCTATTTCTACCTAAACCTCGCAGTTACTCCGTAAATGTATCACCACGACAGTTTGTAACACGACGGGGAAAATTGCCAAAACAAGCAGGGCATAACAGGATGACATGGCTAAAACAGTAAGATTGAGTTATTAGGTTGCTATCTTTTACACTTTTACATTTCTATATTGTTTCTTCTCAAATCTTATTGGGCCGGATGGTGGGCTAGACTGATCAGTCCAAATAACAGAAACCAGGAGGGGTGATCAGCATGAAGCAAGACGCTGTTTGAATGGAATGATTGCTAACGGTGCATATTATCCGCTTACCGGACAGTTTTCTGTATCATGAGCTACTGAAATCATCGTTTTCATACAATACGCACGTTTGAAATGCAGAAACTTCTGCAGTCAACAGTTGAAAACTGTCAGTGATACTGAGGAGTCAGTTGCGTAGCTCAAAGTTGGCCGGAATTGATCACCGTTCACAAAATAGAATGGTGTAGAGTAATACAGAGCACAAAAGGTTTTCGTATTTCGTCAGAAGACAATACCAAATTGCAATTGGTATGCAAGAAAGGAGGAAGTAGCAACGAAAGTCATTAAATGGCCTGATTATGGCTTACTGGTGGTGCTGGCCGGACAGAACACGAAGAAGGTTGGATGCATGTTGGCTGTCTAAGACGTAAATGACATTGGGTGGTTTCGAATTCGAACAAGAGGGACGGTTCGAGGAGAAACAGTGGACGCCACAGAACAGACCAACCCAACCACGACCAAATGTCTGATGTAACCCTTTTTTAAGTGCACAGGTTCGTCCATTTTTATCTGGTCAGATCTGAAATGTTAAGAGGTTAGCTTCTAAGTTATACTGTGTATCTGTTTAGTATAGCCGGTAGTACGCAATACGAAATTCACATCTGTGAACTAACCAATTCGTTGGTTGGAATCGTAGCCACATAAGAACCATCATTTAATCTACGCTAATCGGAATAGGACTTTCTTCAGGATAGTCTCATAATCCACTCGATAAAAGTGCACCCTCTAGAGTGTTTTTAGATGCACAATACTTTAAACCGCAATTGCAGCGCTAGGTTAAAAACATCCAACGAAATTCTCTGCCGTTCGACAATGGCAAGCGCTATCTACATTTTCCCGTGGAGTATAGCTACCAGGCGGACAAGTGATTGAACCCTGTCATCACTGATTACCGGACACATTCGCGAAATGGCCACTTCGTTTATATTAGCTCAGCGTTTCATGCTCTGATACGACTCAACTTCTGTTCCTTTTCTTACTTTAGTGCACGATCCTATTACCCACTAATGGGCTCAGCAGCTGAATTTACCATTCAGGCAACCGGTTTCCGAGCTTGCAAAACATCACGGAGCATTGGCCCACCTATGGTTGCTTCAGCTCCTGTTTCCAACTGATATTTGTCTGCGTCGCTTGACGACAGCTGTCTACTTAGCTGTACCGGCCAAAAACCTTGGATGATTACATCATGAGCAATTAACTATTCCTTAGCCTGAAGGACAAAATCCAGCTCGTTACCTTCGGGCACGAGACGCCAACAAAGTGACGCAAAGTGGTTGAAGGTAATATTTGTAAAATTCAAAATGGATCATCGCCTTTTTCTTAAATGCAACGAAAGCCCAAGTTCCCCAATACTGTCAATCCCACTGATGGCTTCTCATTAAGTAAAATTCAGGTGGCTGCATAAACACTAAAACAAAGGTTGCGGTAGTTAGACATGGTTGTGCTTTTGAGCTACAAAGCGATGCTCGAAGCTTTCAGCATATACCTATTCTGTATTCTCGATTATAGACGCACAATGGAAGATCTCGACTGTTGAAGCTTGGCGACCGCATGCAACTCTAAACCGTCGAATAGACAGTCACTGCTATAAATCATGTGACGATAGCCAATAACACCACTTTTAGGCCGGTGCTCAAGTAGACTGTAGTTTTCCAGTAAACAGAAACACGGTATTTCGGCAAATGAACCCGTTTGTCTAGCACTTGGGTTTTCACGGAAGATTCAACTGAATCTCTCGTTTATGGATTCAATTAGAACATAAGTTTGATGGAAACTCGGGGACTGTGCCTAAATGATGAGCCTCGAGGAGGACGAAAAAGGCCGTGTGCTGTCGAAAGGTTTTCAGCAAACTTGTGAGCACTTTCCCTAATGTAAATACAAACGCTGTATCCTTAAAGTGAAAACGCGAAAACGTACAAATTGAGCAAAAATTCACAGTAGCCTCACCCATTTTAGTATCCCTACTCTAACCATCAGCACATGTGACTATGAAGTGAAAGCCGATCATCCTATTGTCGACTAATGCCGGATTACATGGTTTGTGAAACCTGACTGGTATATAATCATAGTGCGCCGGAGAATTTTCGTTTAGCAGTATAATAGTCTTCAAAGAATGGCTCACATCGACTGATAGGATCGATAAGGTGCGATTACCCTTCCGTGTTTGCAGCTCTTTCTGCGTTTACGTCTTCTTGTAGCTCCACGGTCAACCAGATACTTTGTCCGTTCTTCGTCGTTCTTTCTCTAATTTGTTCCTGTTATTTGTTACCTGGTGTGAACTGCTATGTATTTCGATTCCCGCGTTATTCTGTTCGACATTTCACTGACCTCTTCTGAAGTTTGAGTCTCGTAATTATGAAGTTCTTCCGTGTTTAGTGTTTCATAGGTCGCATTGATTTCGACATGTTTGGCGATGACGTTCCTGGTGAATTCCATGAAATCGCGCCCACACTTTCCTCTTGCTTGGGCTAAAATAGACAGCATGTCTTTCCTGATCTTTATTCATGGGTGAGCGGGAATTGATCGCCTCTTTTAGCAGCAAGACTGCATTTGTGAATTCTGGTAAAAATTCTCTTTCCATTCCCCCGTCCTACGAAATGGTTTTCTCAACATTTGCATGAAATTTTGTGCGTGGTATTAATCTCCATAATGATAGTCAAGTTTCTTGTGAAGTCCATGTGAACAAGATGTATTACCTTTTTAAATCAAAGTCATGGTCGACGGCAAAAATGCAACTCACCATCCAGAAAGTACTCAAACAGGAACCTGTGGTAGATCTAACAGAACCTGAATTAAGGCATGGTCTCCGAAAAATCTCAAAGAAGGTGTATTTTAAAATGATGGCTCAGGACTCGGCTGCTTCGCCTCTAAAAGCTACCTGAAGTACATACAAAACATTCGGGTTCATTTGTAGTAACCTAGTTAAACAGTGAACAATGTTTCTGGTGATTTGGTAGTGATTTAGCGAGAATTATTCTAAACTTGCGTGTGGGATTCGCACGTAGCTGGGATGGGATCCCATGCGCAGCATATGCAGATGTTTGGGCTCAATGACGGTGATGAACTGGATACATACAGTATCATCTCTGGCGAGATGGCTGTGGTTAGAGCACAAATTTACTAACCGGAAGGTTCGTGGTTCGAGCCCGACTACTGCCTCTCGACTTTCCCTGTCTAGGCTTGGAAAACCTCGAGGTATTCCAGCCCCCGTGCTCCCTTCTGGTGGCATGGTAACTGATGGCAGTGTTTTATCTGGATTCGAGGATGATTTTTTGGTGGGTACCATGTTGTCAAGTAATCTTCGCTGCCCTTGAAAACGTTGCTACTGTCCCTGCGTCTTGTGTCCAACTCAATGCCACAACCTTGTTGGGCCTCAGAAGGCAAAGTCTAGCTGCCTGATGATCCATATCATCAACAATGATATTGATGCACGTTATAAAAGAGCACCTAGAAAGTCATGCGAACTGTCGAGGCTTAAGCAAAAAGAGATTTTGGATACCTTTTCCTCAAGATTCTTTCCAGACGTTGCCTAAACTACCATGCAGAGACAACTTTCAATGGACATCCAGTCAAACAGAGAAATCTCCGCTTGATGACTCAACACAATATCCATCCCGACTTGTCTTGCTACAGCCGGAAGAGAGAGGAGAGCGAGGGAGCAGGGACTCTCATACTCTGAT